GGGGGGGGGGTCGATAAGCTGATTGCGGAGGTAATGACTGCGATAAGCCATTTGTCCGCGCGGTACGACCGCGTACGACCAATGCAGACCCCTCGCGGGCGTGTAGACCGGGCCGCGGTGAACATCGACAGCATGACAGTGTGTAGCCCCCTTTCTCACCATCATGATGATGGGCTTGGTGCGGATCTTCTTGGCGCGCGCCGCGTAGCGCAGCGTGTTGAGGGACTCGCTCATGTTGGATTTGGCCGGAGAGATGCAGGCGATCTGGTAACAGTGGGGGTGTACATGTTACTAGTTGTCTCTCCACGACGATGAACGTCTACAGCAAGGGGAGAGAGGGGACTAACCATGAGGGTGACGCCGTTGCCGGCCAAGCTGTCCGCTAGCAGCTTGGTGAGCTTAGAATCCCTGTACGGGATGTGACCCTTCTTTTTTGGGTCGCTCAGCGAGGCAATGCAATAGCCTGTGCGCGAAAACGAAATATTTCATTAAATTTTCATCGCTTTGTCAAAAACAAACATCGCAGACTGTATGCAATATACCGACCTAGGACCATAAGACTCTTGTTTATGTTGTTGGCTTCCTCGAGGGTCTTCCCCTCGCTGTGGGTCTTCTTGGTCATCTCGCTGCCGGCCAGGTCCACAAAGTTCAGCTTCCCCTGCCTCGAGATGAACACGCCGTCCTCCGACATCTGCCTCTCGGCCGCGATGTGCACCGTGAGGATGGTGTGGCTCCTGCTGGAGTGGTCGTTCATGCCGTGGCTGCCCACGGACCGGTTCCGCATCCCTGGAGAGAAACAGGCAGGAGGGCGGTTACAGCGAGTGTCACGGGTCAGGCTCCTCCGAGGGGATCTTCCATCAAAAAATTAGAGTACACTCTAGCAAAAAAGGGGGGAAATGAAAAATTCGAGGAAAAATTAATTTTAAAATATCAGGAAAATTTTGTTAAAGGAAAAATGAAGGGAAAATCGTAGTTCTCACCTTCCTCCAGCACGGCCAGTAGGTCATCGAGCTCCTCGCAGTCGACCGTGAAGAGGTTCTCGACGAAGAAGCCGCGGCTCTTCTTCGACCAGCGCACGGCGAGCGGCTTGCGCGCCGAGCCCGGGTTGAGCAGGTCGATCACCTTCTCGTTGTAGATCTCGAGGAAGGACGCCTTGAGGACGAAGTGGAAGTCGCTGCGCTCGCGCAGCTGTTGGAACAGGAACTGGAAGGACCGGCAGACTAGCCCGTGGTCCGGCGACTGTGGGTCCACCTGCCCGTCGAACTGTGTGGCAGTAAGCAGAACGGACATGAGGTTCACCTGGAGACGGGGTGGGCCGACGGACCTCTGGAAGCTCTGCTTCCAGACAGCCCAGGCCAGCGCTCAAATTTCCCGGCCCCTAGGGATTATCCTCTAGCGCCAGGTAGGTAGGCAACGTCTCGCTTGCGGCGCATGTGTGTACTGCGGGCTGGCCTACCCCGAGTCTCGCAGGCGCGCGAGCTCCCGCAATTTGTCGAATGATTCTTCTGAGGGAAACGGAAGTACTTTCTGGACGATCCCATACCCATCCACCCACAGTGGCGTGGGTCGTGATCTGATCGTCGCGATTCCGACACCGATAAACGCAGCTTTTGTGGTATGGT